CAGTTGGCTCCGGGCATTCAAAATCATGCCCAGGAGTGGAGTTCTGGGAAGTGGAAGAGCACGAAGTGGCCTACAGTTGGCTCCGGGCATTCAAAATGTGGCCCGGGAATGGAGTTCTGGGAACTCGAAGAGCACGAAGTGGCCTACAGTTGGCTCCGGGCATCCAAAATGTGGCCCGGGAATGGAGTTCTGGAAACTCGAAGACCACGAAGTGGCCTACAGTTGGCTCCGGGCATCCAAAATGTGTCCCGGGAATAAGTTCTGGGAACTCGAAGACCACGAAGTGGCCTACAGTTGGCTCCGGGCATCCAAAATGTACGCCGGGAATGGAGTTCTGGGAACTCGAAGACCACGAAGTGGCCTACAGTTGGCTCCGGGCATCCAAAATGTACGCCGGGAATGGAGTTCTAGCAGCGCCAAGAGCGATGTTGCGAGGATGTCCCAGGCGATTTGGGCTTCGACGGCAGCCGCCCCGGGTCCCGCCCCGACCCCCTGAGGAGTCATGATGCTCTCTTTTGAGACCGCTAGAAACCTATCAGCAAAAGCTGTTAGGTAAAAACAAAAGTACACACAAATAGTCGAAACATCGTCTCCAGACTTTCTGTTGGCTATGTTTGCACATTCCTCCTGTAGAGACACATGCCCGACTTCCAACTCCAGGGAGGCGCGGGCCGCTGCCCCGCACAGCCGAGGAGGGAGGAGCCCGCCCGCGCGGAGAAGCGCCAGCCGCGCAGGCCCCCCCCGTCGGAGAGGGGGCCGGGCGCCGAGGAGAACCAGAGACGCCTCCTCCTCCTCCTCCTCCTCCTCCTCCTCCTCCTCCTCCTCCTCCTCCTCCTCCTCCTCCTCCTTATCATCCTCTCCCTCCTCCTCCTCGTCCCGTCCCCCCTCCTTGTCCTCGTCCCCCCCTCCCTCTCCTCCTCCTCCTCCTTCCTCCTCCTCCTCCTCGGCATCATCATCATCATCATCATCATCATCATCATCATCATCATCATCATCATCATCATCATCACCACCACCACACCACCACCACCACCACCACCATCATCATCATCAGCAGCATCATCATCAGAATCATAATCATCATCAGCAGCATCATCATCAGCAGCATCAGCATCAGCATCAGCATCAGCAGCATCAGCATCAGCATCGTCATCATCATCATCATCAGCATCAGCATCATCGTCATCATCATCATCATCATCATCATCATCATCATCATCATCATCATCATCATCATCATCATCATCATCATCATCATCATCGTCAGCATCCTCATCCCCATCCCCATCCTCATCCTCATCATCATCCTCATCCTCATCCTCCTCTTCCTCCTCCTCCTCCTCCTCCTCCTCCTCCTCCTCCTCCTCCTTCCTCCCCCAGTAGTCGCTATAGAAATAGAAATCAAAAAATCCACCCCCATAATAATCACCCCGACACGCGAAGCCGTTTAGTAAGCGCGCCCGGAGAAAGGATCGAACAGGGCAAGGCTGTTCAATAAACGCCCAGGGCCGTTTGGTAAACGCCAATTGCCGGGTCCGGGTGGTTTTCCCTCCCTTGAATGACAGTTCAATGTCTTGAGGCTTGGCGGGGGGCCTGGCGAAGTATGTGGCGGGGCGGGCGGCGACGAAGGCAACCAGTTTGGACGCGGGGGGGAATGAGCGGGGCCGACCTTTAAACCGAAAACGCTTGAACCAAAATGGCAAGAAAGGGCTTGAGCCAGGTGGCTCCTGGCCCGGGAACTACCTGGGCGCGCATATGATGCCCATCTCCGCAAAGGTCCTCCCAGCGCGACGCGAGGCGGCATCCTGCACAGCGCGCGCCGAGCTGGCGAGCGGCCACCCCAGCTCTCGGCACGCCTGCGCCCTATGCCGCCGCGGCGGGCAGCCCTCGAGCCTGAGATCGGGCATGTTCCCCTACAAACGGATGTTGGAAGAAACATGTGTAAGAGAAATACGCGAAAACACACTCGAAACAAACGTCCCCTGACTATTGTCTTACTAGTCTTGAGTATTCCTCATGTAGTGGGACGTGCCCGACTCAAGCCCAGCCCTCGCAGGCAGGGGCCAGGCGGCCCAGGGCACAAGCCGCGGCGGCCCAGGGCAATCTCTCCGGAAAAGCGCGGGGAGCCCTCGGCCTGCAGCTCGAAGATGCACGCGGCGGCAGCAAGAGGAAGAGACCCCGAGGCGACATGGCCTGCGAGGGTAAGTCGGGCACGTCCCTCTACAGGAGGAATATTCAAGAATTGTTTCAAATAACCTGGTGGCGATCTGTTCGACTATGTTTGGCCATGTTCGAATGTGTTTTGGCTGCTCTAAATGCTCTTCCAAAATCCGTCTGTAGAAGGACATGCCCGAGTTACTTGCGAGAGCAGCACACTGCGCAGAAGCGGCCCTCGGCTTCACGTCCATCACGCAGCCCGTGCGCAGGTCCCATGGGCACTCGAGCCCAGGCCAGTTGTGGCTCGCGGCGGGGCCGACGGGAGTCGGCAGCGGCCACGCGGCGGGAGGGACAGCGGCGGAGAGTTCCGTCCTCCTCCCCTGGCCAAGAACCCTCCATGCATCACGACAGCATGCCTGCAGGCTTTCGCGCGTGGCGAGAATGTGCAAACGTGTCCCCCAAGTCAGCGTAGACCTGAGGCGCAGAGGACGCTGGGCGGCACCGCGGGTGGAGGCAAGGAACCCTTGGTCTTTGGCGTGGTGGATGGCAGCAAGGCGGCGGGGCGGCGGCCACACCCAGGGCTGCCAGCGCTGACGCCTCCAGGCGGGTGCCAGCCGCGAAATCCACAGGAGCGGAGAGCAGACCGCCCTGCCGCAAGGCAGTGAGGAGAGCGGTCGTGTCCTCGGCGCCAGGAGTGCCCGTACCCACTCAGCGGCGCCTCGCTCAGCACCCAGCAGTGCGGACTCCCAGGCCCACGCCGCAGCCTGCTCGGCGCAGGGCTTCCGACGAGGAGTCAGCGCACACTGGGAGGGTGGGCAGACCCAGGGAGTCCCCATCCGCGGCGCCCTCGGCGATGACCACCGTCTCCACCCCGCCGAGGTTTGACGAGCACGACGTCGGAGACGAGCATGCTGACCACGCGGGCCAACATGCCTTGCATGGCCCCGACTTCCTGGTAGAGCCTCCGGACCAACAACTCTCTCCAGGTCCGAGGGAGGCATTTGTAGGCCCCCGAAGACGACCCAGAGGGAGCGCTCGCTGCCTGCCGCCTCGGCAGCCACCTCGTGGAGTGCGAGGTGGGCGCCCGCTGCGTCTGCGACTCCGCCGCTTTGGCCTCTGAGGCCGAAAGCGCGGACCTGTTCCGCAGCCTGGCGTGCACGAGCGTCCCCTGGAAGAGGCCCACGGAGGAACAAAACAGACTGCATAAACCTCAGCTTTCGGAACTCCGCGTGGCGCTCTTGGATCGGCGCTGGACCCCCTCCCTGGCACGCGGAGCGCGCCAGGAGCGGCTGGCCCGGCGCGGGTCCAAGAAGTCCCCGCGTGCCCCGCTGAGCCCACCGACGAGGTGACCTCGGAGGCTGCAGCAGGCACATCGAGAGTTCCCAGGCATCTGGCTACACGCGCGTGACCCCTGGCTGGCGACAGCGCGGCAACCACCAGTTCGCGCATCTGACCTGTCGACCTCTGGTGGGGAGCGTGACGGGGACAGGAGGCGCACCACCAACCGCGGGATTAAGATGGCGCAGACCTCATGCTCTCCCAAGGCCAGACCATCGCCTCACCCGAGCAGGCGACGGATCCCTGCCTCATCACGTCTCCGCTGGCTGCGTGTTGACACCCCCCGTGAGGAGCCTGCGGGGACCTCGTCACGAGAAAAGGACCAAATAGAGCCCGCAAATCCGACTGCAACCCTGACACCTGGGAGTCCACTCCTGCGTCCAACCCTGCACTGGGAACCAGTGGGCGGCAGCGGATGCACACAAACCATTGGGCCCCTAAATCGCCTTCTACATAGCTGGAGCCACAAAGAGGTTCTGTCCGATACCACTTACCGAAGGACCTCCTGGGAGCCCGAGTCACGCGATGTCAAAGACTCGCACGGTTCTGGCGGGTGGTCATGGGAGGTGACCAACATGGGGGGGTGAAGAGCAGTGCCCTACAGGGGCCCTTTAGGGCCCCTCTTGGAGCCTGCTGGGGCCCAGAAAAGGCCCTTTGGGGCCCCTTCGGTGCCCTTCTCTTCACCCCCCATTTGAGCCCACCCCCATTACCACCCGCCCGAACTGCACGGCGGCAGTGGCGCACTCCCAGGCTCCGCGGAGGCCCGCAGCCTCTCCCGGCTCTCCCTCGCAGCTGCGCCCCACCAGAACTGCAGGAGCGCCTCTGCGAACTCGTCCCCGCTGGGCTGAGCTCCCGCGTGTGCGGAAAGGCCTCGGAGAGCGCGCCGCAAGGCATCCATGGGCGGGTGCGGCTGCTTCGAGGGAGCAGGAGAGCACAGGGGCCTGGCCGAACGGCTGCGAAGGGGGGGGGGGGAGAAAACCACGAGCGCTGCCAGAGAAGGAAAGCGCATGTCCAAATCTAAACCTAGCCCGAGGGCGGGGAGCCGGATGACGCGGGATCGGCAGTAAACAATTACGTAGCCAAATGTCGGGGGCCGCTGCACTAGAGTGGAGGGTGAACGACAAGTGATGTGTTCAACGCGAGGACCCAAAAAATGGAGAGTTGGGAACAATACAGGGCACATTGGAGGACGGGTGCAGCGAGGGGGAAGGAGGAGAGGGGAAGGGAGAGGACGGGACTGGATGGGTAAAGGGGATGGGGCGGGGGGGAGTGTGAGGAGAGGGGGAGGCGAAGGCAGGGGAGGGGAGGTGATCGAAAAGAAAAGTGGGAATTAGAAGAGGCCCTGACTTCATGAACCCCAAACGACAATGTTGGTAAACCAGGACACTTGCACGCACAACACAGCTGTAGCCGTTGGCCGAAACCGTTTTCTCTTCTATGCGTTCTTCAACTGGCAAAATCCTGGTTTGCGATGTCCTGATTTCTGGGGCCATGATTTTTCCCGCCCTCCCTCAGTCCAGAGATGCAGGGGCTGTTGCTGATCTTCATCGGTTGGCAGCTCTGGCCAGCCAACAGGTGATCGTCACAGCCGTAGTACGTGGCACCTTCACACCCGGGCTTGCACGGAAGGTAGCTGGTGGTCTGGGTGGTGCTAGTACCCGAGGTGGTGGTGACGGTTGAGGATGTGGAGCTCGTTACCTGGAAGAGGAGGAGGAGGAGGAGAAGGAGAAGAAGAAGGATGAGGAGGACCAGAGTAAATCCAAGAGTCATCAACGATGTTGGAATTAACCCTCCATCCAAGCTCCCTCTTCGTAGGCCCCTACAACGGTTCAATTCCATTCCATTGAGGAACTTCCTCGTTGGAAAACAACCGGTTGAAGATTCTGAGGCGTGCCAAAACATTGTTCTCGGGATTTCAACGCCACTGCTGCGTCTTGACGATCCGGAATCATGCCAGAACGCCATGTTGGGACTTCAACCGCGAATCAACATAGTTGTTGCGCCCGCATCATCCTGAATCCGTCCAAAACACAACTCCTGGTACGCTGACCATAGGTATCCTGAAACCCTTGCAAATCTTGAAAAGAATTGTGCGCGGCGCCAGGACGAGAGACACATTTTGAAAACGACCCGCCCTCAAGCCGTGAACTGCTTGCAAGTTGTTTAAACGAATGCGCGCGGCGCTAAGGCCAGAGCCACATGTTGAAAACCAACCGCCCTCAATCCGCGAAACTCTTGCAAATGTCTAAAACGAATGTGCGCAGCGCTAACGCGAGAGCCACATGTTGAAAACGACCCGCCCTCAAGCCGTGAACTTCTTGCAAATATTGAAGAAGAATGTGCGCGGCGCTAAGGCCAGAGCCACATTTTGAAAACCAACCGCCCTCAATCCGTGGAACTCGTCCAAATTGTTTGAACGAATGTGCGCGTCGCTAAGGCGAGAACCACATTTTGAAAACGACCCGCCCTCAAGCCGTGAACTTTTTGCAAACGTTTAGAAAGAATGTGCGCGGCGCTAAGGCGAAAGCCAGATTTTGAAAACCACCCGCCCTCCACCTGTGAATAGTCACTTCTAAGCTTCAGAATCGTACATGGTGAGAAAATATGAGGCGAATCGCCAGGCCCGACCTAAAAACTGGCCACGGGGTGCGACAGGGAGAAGTTATGGAGAAGGAATGGAGGAGGGGGAGGGGGAGGGGAGGGGGGAGGCGGTGGGGGTGGGGGTGGGGGAGGGGGAGGGGGAGGGGAAGGGGAGGAGGAGGAGGACGACAACGACGACGAGAAGGAGGTGGAGGAGGGGGAGCCCTCCTCCCCCCCCTCCACCTCCCATGCCTCCCGTTCGCGCCGCACCTCCCCTCCCCATCACACCAGCCCAATTCCCTCTCTGCCCTCCCCCTCCCCATCCCGTCCCGTCAGCAGTGACTCAATATGAATACTACTCCCCCCTCTTCTCCTGATGCTGTGTTCCTTGTTCGCTAGCCTATCTCGCAAAACGCCTTTACCCCAAGCAATGCTTGCACTTAGAGGTTCATACTTTTCTAAAGAACTCGGTCTGATTGTCGGTCTAGCCGGCTTGTGACCGCCCGTCGCCGCCGTCCTTGGTCCCGATTTGGATGGCGCAATCGAAAGAATTGGGCCTGGTTATCGGTCGGGCCAGCTTGTGGCAGCCCGTTGCCACCCGTACCCGCCGTCTTTGATCACGGTTTTGATTGTTCGAGGCACGCACTTTGATTTGCATTGCTTTGCCTTGTTTTGCATAGCGTTGCATTGCTTGGCTTTGTTTTGCAGTGAGTTGTTTTGCTTTGCTGCGAATTGCTTTGCGCATCGTTGCGTTGATGTCGATTGCGTTGCTTTGGTGTGGGTTGCGTTGATTTGCGTTGCGTCCCCTTGGTTTGCATCGTTTTGAAGGGCTCCGCAAGCGGCCTTGCCACGCATCGCTTCCATTGCGAGTGCTCGACGCGAGCCCCTGTCTTCTCACCATTACTTGGTGGAGGCGGACGTCGAGCGCGGCACTCCTCTTCGGCAGATGCTGCCGAGGACCGCGCCCTGGGACAGGCAAGCTCTGAAGGACCCCGGTGCAGCTAACCGGTTTGCCAATGCTTTCGAGGAAAGCATGCGCCAGCAACGCTCCGTCGGGGCAACTTGCAACGTGAACCAACTGAACGGGCGCGCGACGGCGGCTTTCTCGGACGCAGCCGAGAAGCATCCACCGCGGCTGTCCAGTTCCAAACGCCGACCTTGGATCTCGGACTCAACAGTGCTTCTTGTCAACCAGCGCTCGGAGGCCAGACGAGCCCAGGATGACGCCGAGGAACGCCGCCTGGACAAGCGCGTCAAGAGGGCTGCACCACGAGACCGGAAAGCATGGTTGTCCAATCTCGCCTCCACAGGAGATTGGAGTTCTCTCCGCAAACTCAAGAAGGGGGCTGCTCACGGCCAGGGCCGTCTTGCAGACGCGGACGGCGTCGTTGTCAGCTCCGAGGCCAGGGCCGACACATTTGCCTTGTACCTGGAACAACTCCAATGGGCCGTGCGACCAGCGTGCCTCGTGGACCGGCCGAACTTGTTCGAAGAGCTACCAATGGAACGTGCGCTGACTTCGAATCAGGAACTCAAGGACGCTGCGTGCTCACTCTCGGCTGGCAAGGCTGTTGGGCCTGACGACCTCCCAATTGAGTTCTGGAAAGTTGCATTGCGGGAGGACGGGGAGGGCGCCGCGCGGCTGTTGGAGCTGTGCAACTCCTGCTGGCGAGGTCGAGCTGTGCCGGACGCCTGGCACCTATACCGCGCCGCCCTGATCTTCAAGAAAGGGGGCCCAAGGGATTGCGGGAACCACCGGCCAATCCGCTGCGGAATTCGGCGTGCGAAATCTTGGCGATGGTGCTCACACGGAGGCTGATGAGGGCAGGAGCGGACGACCGGATCTGGCATTCGCAGTTGAGGTTTCGCCCGAGGCGCGGCACCGAATATGCCCTGCACTGCGCCAGGCGGGGCGCGGAGGTGGCGCGGGCGCATCGCGGTGGAGCCGCACGCCTACTTGCCCTCGATTGGAAGGAGGCGTTGGACCCCATCAAAGTCGAAGGTCTGCCACTCGCTCTGCGAAGGCTTGGTGCCCCAGGCTTCTTCTTAGACATAGTCAGATCGATTTATTTAGAAAGAGCTTCTGTGGTGCACGACTGCGGCGTTCCATCCCAGAGGAGACAGCAGCAGTCCGGCATATGCCAAGGCTGCCCGCTGTCACCGCCCCCCTTCGTAATAGTCATGACAGTTCTGATGAGTGACGCCTGCGGCATGCTTGGCCCTAGCGCGAACGATGCCCGCAGCAAGGATAAACTATACGACGCGTCGCACGCAAATGACACCCTGCTTACTGAAACGAGAGCGCAGCACGTGCAAGAATTTGCGAAAGCAATAGAGAAAGCTGGCTTCGAGTACGGCATGACGCTCCACTGGAGGGAGTTCCAAACGCTTCCAGTTTGCACCAGCCAGATCCTCAAGCAAGACTTGGATTGGCGCCGCCCATGGAACGTTCACCAAACTGAAGCAGGCGTGGGCGCGCGCTAATCTATCCAGGGAGCAAAAGTTGAAGTTATTCCAAGCTTTTGTCTTATCGAAACTCCGCCACGGTTTATGCGCGACCTGGTTGGTCACGGCCCAGCGGCGCAGACTATTGGGTTTCCGTGCGCGCTGCCTGCGCCGCATTCTCAATGTGCCGCCAGCATATACTTCGAAAGTTTCCAATGCCGAGATCTTTCGCCGCGCAGGCGCCCGGCCGGTCACTGATCAATTACTCGACCACCAGCTTGTGTGATTGCATCGTGTTCGGCGCTCGCCAGCAGGGAGCCCGCTGCGGCGAAATTCTTTCGTCGGCGCCTCGATGCAACCTGCGATCGGCTCATTCATCCGCAGAGTTGGCCGCCCGAGACAAGACTGCACAACGCAGGCGATGAACGAAGTGTCGAAGAGGTGCCCGGACCACGGGCGGATGGAAGAGGCCATGACCGATCAATCCGCGGGGTCGGAGCAGCGCTGGACGCACCTGGCGGGCATTTCCGAGAGGCCACCGCACAGCAGGAGGCCACGATGGCAGAGCCCCCCCCCCTTTCCCCCCCCCTCCCCCCCCCTCCTTCCCCCCCCTCTTTGTCGACGCACCGACGCACTGTCCTGGCGAAAACTCACGACGTCGATTTGTCACCCGCCGCTGGCTCGCACGACGCACGTTTTTGTGTTCGGTGTGTGCAGGGGCCGGTCAATCCTTAGTCATTGCTCTGTTGCCGATGCGCCGCCCGGGCGCCTGGCTTCTCTGTCTGCCCATGGGTTTCCTAAAATTCGGCTGGGGAAATTTAGGAAACTCACTATGGGAAACCCATAGGTCGACAGAAACCCCTAGGGCATCTGGCGACCGATGGGTCTCCCATAATTCGCCCACGCCAGCGGCCCCGTGGAATTTCACAGAATTCTAGACGCCGCGCACTGATGGGACATTCGCACCCGTCGCAGCGCCCACGACTCGCGGTTGCGGCCGAGGAGCTCTGGGAGCTCGGGGCGCTGACAGGTCGGGCGGTTGTGGTATTTCGTCGCCATCAAAGAGATCGTCGCGCACTGGAGCTGGCGGCGCAGGGCCTTCGATGGGGCCTCGGTCCAAGGGCGGCCCATAGGTGCCAGGACTCGCCTGTGATCCAACGATTCCTGCCACGGGGTCTTCAGACTGCTGCTCTTGGGCCTCGCCAGACAATGTTCCGCGTCGGCCGTTGCGGCGCTCTTGGATAACCCTGCGCGGCGCGTCGAACCAGCGGCGTTGGCCCGGCCGCCGGGCGCGGCCGCGGCGCGCCCAATCTCGCGGCGGGCCCCGCGCGCACCTTGAACAAGGCACGGCGATTCGACCCCAGGCAGGATGGCGCACTTCCCTGGGGCCGCGATGCGACGTGGACCCAGGCGGCTACGATTGCCGCGGCAGCCGAGACATTGCGGACACCGTCGAGCGTTTCGCGCTTCGGCTGCCCGCTTGGCCGCCGGCGCGACGGCGGCCGCACGCGCGCACGCGGCGCGCTCGGAAGCTCCAACCGCCATCGGTTGGGCACGGGGCTTGCCTGTCGGCGCGGGCTCGGCTGCTGTGATCAGGGCAAGCACCGGCGCAGGTGGCGCGTCGGCGTCTTCCAGGCGCTCAAGTCCCCGGAGAGCCTCTAGGCTGACATGGG